CTGCTCCACTGCTTTTCCGTACCATTGTCCCAGCAGTGGCGGATAAGAGTAAGGGGGCGGCGGGGTCGTCGGCAGTCTGCGAGGTTCTGAAGAAGCCCGCCGCAGGCGCTGATTTTTCCCATTGCGCAATGAGCCCGCCGCAGGCGCCGCATTTTCGTCAAAGCACTGTGGGTGGGTCGCGGGTGGGTCGCGGGTGGGTCGCGGGTGGGTCGCAGGTGGGTCGCAGGGGGGTCGCGGCTGGGTCGCGGTTGGGTCGCGCGCGGGTCGCGGGCGTGTCGCGAGGGAGGACGACGACAACACATAATTTTAAGACTGTTCGCTCTTATCTGCTCGCGTGCCATTCAGCACGTATATCCCGAACCCTCGATACCCGCTCTCTTCGTCTTTGGTCGTGCCCCCCTTGGGTGTATATCTTCCTTAATTACCTGCCACGTGAGGTTGGCGAAGCCCCAAACGGCAGCGGAAGAGAGGGATGATGGTACGCTGGCGGACCTTCACGGACCGGTCGGGTGGGCGGGCCTAGGCGGCCAGGTCGAAAGTCCAGAGCGAGGGCGTGATTCCTCAGTGTCGAGGGCGCTGCGTATGAGTAAGTTGCGAGGATCTCCCACGCGAGAGCGCGATTCCTGCATACATTGTGAGGACGTCGTGCGCTTTGAGCAAATTAGAAGGAACTATCAAGCGGAAGCCGTGGTTGTTGTTGTTGCTGCTGCTGCTGCTGCTGCTGTTGTTGTTGTCGTTGTTGTTGTTGTTGTTGTTATTGTTGTTGTTGTGGTTGTTGTTGTTGTTGTTGTTGTTGTTGTTGTTGTTATTATTGCGGTTGTTGTCGTCGTTGTTGTTATTGTTGTTGCTGTGGTTGCTGTTGCTGTTGTTGTTGTTGTGGCAGTTGTTGTTGTTGTTGCTGTTGCTGTTGTTGTTGTTGTTGTTGTTGTTGTTGTTGTTGTTGTTGAACACTATTACTTCTAAAGAATTATTATTGTTGGACCCCCTGGTGCACGCCCCCCGCCCAAAACCTAGGCCGCAGCTACATTTTCATCATTTTTCTGCGAAAGCTTCAGAAAAGTGGATTACCCCCGGATCCGGTTTTTTGTTGACGCTCGTTTTCCCTTGCAAAAAACAATAGAAAATGAAAATTCTTGTTCTTAGTTGATCAAATTTCAAGAATCCCTTGCAAAAAATAAGGTAAAGTGGACATTCGCGCTCGCAAGACGAAATCCTTCCAAAACCTTAGGTTTCGTAGCGATTTTAACATAAAAACATCAAAAACCCAATGGTTTTTTAAGAAAAAATTGTCAAAATGTCCTTCCGCGCGCTCTTGCGGATTCATAGGAAACACACCACTTTTTAAACATTTCTGTCAAAAGGGTCTTTGCGTGCTACTTCTTCAGGTGCTTTGAACTTCTCCAACAACGGTTGCGCGCCTGCGAGGGCCACCATCCCTTGCAAAAAATGAGACGCGCGCGTTGGGCACTGAGAGTTAGGATCCTAGCGCCATGAGTCTATGAGCAATGCATGCGTCATCCTTGGGACTGTATAACATCAGTGTAACACATGTACTTCTGTAATCGCATCCCCACGAATTTGCCCCAAAAATGTGACCAACTATCTTGGCACTGCGTACCATCTCACGTGTACCGTGTACCACATCATATGTAACAGATGTGATCAACCTCTGTGGGTGTGTACCCCACGCCAGTGTAGTAGCCAGGGTCGTCCGCACGCCACGAAGTGAAGTGTCCCAACGTCATAGGGCGGGAAGCTGGGTGTGGGTGGTCTCGAAGAGTCGTTTGGATATTTGGTAGAGCTTGAACGGCCCCCCCACGAAGTGGGGGTATTGGCTGGTGTCGCAAGAAAACCCTGGCACTGGGGAGAACACTGAGCGTTCGGGTAAAATGATTGTTGTTGTTGTTGTTGTTGTTGTAGTAGTAGTAGTAGTAGTAGTAGTAGTAGTAGTAGTAGTAGTAGTAGTAGTAGTAGTAGTAGTAGTAGTTCGGGGGCCAGCAACCCATGAAGAGGAGCAATGCTTTTCTCCTTGCAGAAAACAGGGTGCGAGCCCCAGGAGGGGCATTTTCATTGACAAAAGCATAAGGTGTACGGGGCAGGGGGGATCAACAATCATTATTCTTTAGCAGAGAGAATTCAGCAAACAGCAGAAGTATAGTCAGGGATGGTGTAAGACCGTTCGGGTTCCACACTCTGATAAAGAGCTCCTCCCTGTCGCACCTTCAGACGTGTTGGTAGTGCGGGCCGGGCGTTTCGCGTGAGGCGCCCTCGCCATTTATGATCCTGAAGCTCGAACGTTGCAGCATTTTCAAGGATGGAGGGCGCGGGTGGTTTACACAAAATGCTGCTCTCGCCTTAGCGCTCCGCCCCGCGCATTCCTTGTCAACGCTTGCAACACGTTTCAGGATGGAAGGCGGATATTTTCCACAAAGTTGGTTCCAATAGTTTGCATCATTTTCAGTGACGGATAGCGGTTCCTTTTCAACATGTAGCTCTCGCCTCATTTTTTATACCATTTCGGAGGATTCGTTAGTTTGAAGTCCTAGAAGTTGTGTTCTGGCACACTGCCAGGACGCAGCAGTCGCATCTATTCGCGATGCTGAAGTCCCGTGAGTGGTCTTCTGGCACGATTTGGGTTTGTCAGGGCGCAACAGTCAAGTTGATCCGCGGCGTTCAATTTCGAGGAACAGTGTTCTGACAAGATGTAGGATTATAAGACGGTTGTCCTTACACTACAGCATAAATTCTTGACGCTTCGCGGTATTCCACCAGTTTTGCTTCTGCGCGGCCCGCCTTAGCTTGCACGGCGTTCGACTCGTCATCGCGCGCCCGCGTACCCAAAAAATCTCCACCAGTCCATTCGAGAACAGCAACCAGGCGGTCTGCTGTGATTCAGATGTCCCTATGAGCATTGTCCGGAGCTCTCCGGGAGATTTGGAGGGGTGGTGAATGGGGGGCTTGGAAGTGGTGGGGGTGGAGGGGGGGGGGCGCGAAGGGGGGTGGTGGAGTGGGGGTGGTGGAGGGGTGGGGGGGGTGGGGTGGAGGGGGGGTTGGAGGGTGGGTGGGTGGGTGGGGGGGCGGACGGTACAACGCCACGCAGAACGCCCCGTCCACACCCAGGGGCAGGGGGCAGGGGGAGGGGGATCCCCCTCTCCGACGGGCCTGTGTCTTCTTTACAGCGAGTCGTATTTTGGGCTCCTACGCTCAAGAATCTCTGCGTTGCTGTAGCGTTTTTTCTTTAATGTTTCTTTTCAAGCGTTTTCTCTCCCGTCGCTGTGGATCTTAATTGCTTTCCACCGTTTGTGGCTTTCTTGTCGCAGGTTGTTCCTTGTCTTCACTGCCATCTTCGCTCCCGCTCTTTCGTTCGTGCCGCCTCCCGTTCCTCCCGCTCCGCGCAGGGCTAGAAACGCCCCCAGCACCCCCTTAACACTGGTGTAACACCAGCGCGGAACAGGCCCAGAGGCCCCGCGACCAGCCAGCAGCGACGACCAGAGAAGAGCAACGTTATGATAACAGGGAGGACTGTACGCGAGCAGAAGGAACTGAGGACGTGGTGGACGGCAGTGTTGGACAGCGCAATTCACTGATCTGAAAACGCGAAGCAACAGGAGATCAAGTCGCAATACACGCTCATCGTTTTTTCAGCGTTTGATTTTTTGTTTGGACCTCAGACCGCTTAAGTACATGACGACTGCCACGCCAAGCTTTAAACTGTAAGCACGTTCTGGGCACACTTAAGAAGAACCAGACCGAGGGGAATAATGTATTTAGCAGAACGAGGTCGTTAGACCACTCACGCCCAGAGGTCTGGTGGGTTTCTTGTAGGGACTCATGAAGAGGGAGCTTGGAGGGCGCGTTTATTGCGACATTGTTGATGCGTCTTAAGTTCACACTGGTTCTCCTCCTCCTCCTCCTATTCCTCCTCCTCCCCTGAAAGGGTGAGGACGTCCTCCTCCGCCTGCTCCCTCCTCCGTCTGGTCAGGTTTCGTAGATACGCCCAAACCTTTTTTTTGTGGGTGCCGAAACTCCGAAGAAACTCCTCCTCCTCCTCTTCCTCCTCCTCCTCCTCCTCCTCCATCACGGAGTCTAACGTCTGAGGCCCTGGACGACCGAAAACAGGAGAGGAACAAGGATTCAACAGGGTGGCGAGATTAATCTATGAGCCACGCTGCCGACCTGCTCCTGCGCTAGGCTTGGAACCTGCTGAGGCTTGGCTGCGGGGGCAGGAGGACGCGAAGGTAGGATCCTCTGCTCCCCCCTCCGATCCCAGAACTCCTCGCCTTCACCACCTCCAGAAGTGGCAGACGCTTGGGAGGAGCACCGAACTCGAGACCGAGGCCCTTGGCGAGACCGCCTCAGAACCTGCGCGCCGCGCGGGCACGCCCGAGGGACGGCCCCGCAGCCGCTCGCCGCTTCGCCGTGGGCGCGGCTCGGCTGAAGCGCAGCCCGGCGCAGCACTCGGCTCGGCCAAGCGCGGAGGCGGCGTGGTTCCGCCTGTCTCGGCGCAGGCGAATTTGGCGTCCGAGCTGCGCTCACAGTCTCGAGCCATATGACAGACAGCATCACATTTTATACGTGAACACATGTCTAGTTATGTGTTTATGCACCCATACCTATATACTCATATCTATATATGTATGAGAGAGAATAGTGGGATCTATTGACATCGAGAGGAGAAAGAAAGAGAGATAGAGAGGGAGAGACAAGCGAGAGAGAGAGAGAGGGAGAGAGAGAGAGAGAGAGAGAGAGAAAGAAAATAGAGAAAGAGAGAGAGAGAGAGAGAAAGAGAAAAGAGAGAGAGAGAGAGAGCGATAGAGAGAGA